TACAAAAAAAAAAAAAAAAAAAACTATAAAGGAAGAACTCACTGAGTAGTCCACAAGAGTAAAACTCAGGCATATTTATTGTCCTAATTGAAAATTAAATCATTTCTAATTAAGGATAATAGAGAATAGAAGAAACAAAATCATTAGACAGGGTCTTGCTGTGCAGTTTGAGCTGGCCTTGTTCTCACTTTTGCGGCCCCCATGCTGGTCTCAAACTTGCAGTGATCTTCCTGCCTCAGCCTCCTGAGTGCTGGCATTACAGGTGAGTGTCATCACACCTGATTCCAGGGCTGGCATGGCGTGTGTGGGGCTGGAAGACCATGTGGGGCTGGGGATCAAACTCATGACCTTGCACTTGCCGAGGAGATGCTTATGCCTCGGAGCTATCTCCTCCACCTCCGTAATCATGTGTTTAAATAATCATATAAGAATTTCTAATTGCACATCATCTAGCCCCCCAAACAGCAAGACAGAACTCATTGTAATTTCTACATGAACACAAGGAAAATGCTCACAAGAGACTCCTCTTTTCTTCTTAGTATATCTAATAAGAGTAACAATGATAGGAGTGGAAAAGCTTCAGTTTGATCTAGAAAACTATTGAGTCAGGTTGCAAAAACAAAATGAAATAGAACAAATTGAGTCACTAACACAACTCTCAGCAGCACTTTTATATTTTTAATTTTTTCTCAAATTGAGCTCTGTCTTATAATTCATGCATAGTCTGAAAGTTGTTATTAAATCATGCCTTGTTAACAATGGATTTTAGAGTTGAGGCATTTGTAAGAATAAATATTTCTGTTTTGCCAGAAGCACTTTTTACATCAGGAAGCAATTTCATTTTTCAGGCCTGTTCTTAGATTCTACTCCTTAGATTCCCACTTGAAATAAATATTCCTTAAAAGTAAAGCACATGAATCAAATGATAATGTCTATAGGGACAACTCTGGTTAATTATAGCCACTGTACTTTGTATGTGTTCTTAGACACCAACCCTGACCTCTAATTTCTATAAGACACTGTAGTATGTTCCCAGGGAAGAAAAATAACTTAACTCACTCTCCTCTTCCACCATACGAAAACCAAATTCAGTAGCAGAACAGTAGTAATGACGTCCTATTTGTAGTTGTCCTTCCCTTCTACAGAGAATGACTTTTCTGGATGTACAACATGCAGTTGGCTTATGAAAACTCATTTTTCCTGGGGGAAATGTATATAATGCTAGAACTACATGTTACAAAGACAATGGAGCTTTCTAGGAAAAAAATAATACTTGACCACATGTTCAAAGAAGAGGGATAGGAGGAAATTGACACAATTACTGCTATGAAAGGGTTAAAGTTAAGGCCTTACAAAACAATGCCTTTTTGTATTTTTTAGCTATAAGCAAATTCTTAGCTAAGTCTCTTGAACTTATCTTGCAGGCTTATTTTTTGTAGCATGTAAATATATGAGTCCCAGTCATTGTGTTTTTATTTTTCTCTGCCAGTAGTACCCTCATATGCATTTTGCCAATCCAAGATTTATATCTTTCAACCATGAAAATAAATTTTTCCTTTTCCCCTACAGCACCGTTTGTCATTCACTACACTTTAAATACTTGCTGTCTGTGATTTCTTCAGTGTTTGCTGGCAGCTGGGGTGTAGGGAGAAAATGCTGCCCTCAGAGGCAGAGGAT